CGACTATTAAATCAGTCGTGGATGATTTTGATAGTCGACGTAATCGTGATTAGTCGACTAATCGTGGTAGCCCTAATCAGTACTAACTGAAAGTTTAGGAGATCAAACTTATTCTAATCATAAAGGCATATCTCAGTCTGGATTATGGCTGACTGAAGGCTCAAAGAGGAAATTGCAAAACGCAAATGTATTTGACAACATCAAATACATTTTGTAAACAGGACAGAATTACACATTGGTGTGTTTAGATGAGTCAACTTTTCTAATTGTTCACTTCTAATGAAAAAAAAAGTATTGAAGTCAAACAGCTACACTGTAAAATGTAATATTGTGTTTAATTAAAAATATTAAATAGGCTGAACTCAATTTTTATCAATTTGTTATTAGAACTCGATTTATATAAGTTACCAGTACTTTTTATGCAAAAATGCTGATAAACTCAAGAGATTATTGTCATTGCTGTGGATCTTTACCTGATACACTGACTTGGTGAGTAAATGTTTACTCTTATTTTGTGGCTTCTCTTAGTTTAGCACCAGGTTTATAATCTTGCTAACTAGTTAGTGTTAGCCTAGTGTTGCTGCTGCGGCTGGGCTCATGTTACTTAAAAATTAACACCACAGCCTTAAAAACCTTACATAAAACTATGTCTGTGAAATTTTCTGTTGATTATTTGAAATAAAAAAGTGAGATAAGAGCCCAGACAAAATTCTTCGGAAGGTGTAGACGTTAGGGGTGGGGTGTGGGGGGTATTTTCAATCCATAGCCATAACTAACTAACTAATTATATATATATCATGTTTAACCTGAGTAGCAAAAGAGTGCAGGGGGGTTGAAAAGAATAAGCCAGGAGTTAGCTGTGCTCCCGGACTCTATCAAGCCTTGACCTCCCGGTCAGCTATCGTGCTGGTGGATAACAGAGCTCTCCGAAAACGTGGAAGCACTTTTGCAAATATGTGATATTTTGATAAATTAAGTAGATATTTAAGCATTACACAGCTACATTCTCGTCTGAAAATATCTTAAAAGGTTATTTTGTGACCCAGAAAGGGTAATCTGGGGAAAAGGAGGATCGCATTTGTCTGCAGGTTGTCGGAGCCTGTTCGTACTTGTAGCGCGGCAATGGCGGAGGAGCGCGGCTAAAAAACGTATTACTTTTTCTGGGTCACAAAATAAACTTTTAAGATATTTTCAGGCGAGAATGTAGCTGTGTAAAGTTCAAATATCTGCTCGATTTATCAAGACATCACATATTTGCAAAAATGCTCCAACGTTTTCGGAGACGTCCATTTTTTTTCATGCATTGTGGCAGCTTTTGAACATCTGTGGCATCTATTAATGTCAAATGTAGCCTTTATTTAACAACATAAGCAATGGCTATTTTACAATAATTGCACAGCCATTAAGGATCAAATCAGTTTCTGAAAAATGTTCTGCTTTTTTTCCCTCTGCTTGCTTCTTACTGTCTTTGAGGCTCGGGACCAGCAGTCCTGTTGTTGGATAGAAAGACATCAACTCAGTGGTAAGTATTTTGGTTTTCCAATATATTAGCAACTGTCAGTGACATTTATATTAATCAGGCTGAACTTTAATCATACTTTAGATCAGCCTGTTTTTACTTATTGTTTTATTTGTGCTTTGGTTTGGGGAAGTTGTTTCTTTACTGATCTTTTCCTGTCTTCTGTTATTAGACTTGAGATATGGCTGCACTATGCTGTTTCTGGTGACTCCAGTTAATTCTACAAGACATGCTGTGTAAGTAAACAAACAACAACAGTTTGGTCTGCATTTCTTGAAAGATCACATCCCCCAAACTTAGTTTAGAGGGTCTACACTGTATATAGTGAAGTCTGCAAGTTTTCTAACAGCAAAATTTGTGTTGTTCCCAAACATTTTGCACATCATTAGAATGAAAGTCATTGCCCATGTTTGCATAGCCCTTTTTAAAAGGATGCTTTCATGACATTATTGTGTGTTGGGTGGTGGTCACGGCTATCCAGACTGACAATTGGGACATTGAATGTCACCTCTCCGGTGGGGAGGTAGCCTGAGATTGTCTAAATTGGAGTCTGTTTTATACCAAATGCAGAAAAAAATGTTTTAAGAAAGCAATTAAGTTCATGTTCCAAAAAATATGATTGTTTGCTTGCAGGACACCAGGAGAGATGAGTCCTCCGTCACAGATGGTGTGGTCAGTGAAGATGGTCGCCTGCAGGTTCAAGCTCATTGCATCTCCAATCCACATCCACTGCCACTGTACTTAAACCTGTTAGCAGTCGGACGTACCGCCCACGGTACATTGGATGGTTTAGGGGACTAATTGGACTGCTAAGGGGTTTAAGGGAAGTTAAAGACTTTCTTCTGCACTTACATTTGGATCACCTCGATCCATGATAGTCATTCAGGCAGTAATGCCTGGACTGGAAACAAGCAATCCTTAAAATAATACAACATTCCAGCTCCTGTGTTGGAATGCAAAACAAATGTGTTGTTTAAATTAGAGACTGCACTTGTGACAGAACAACAAATATTTTATTTTTATTATACAAGTAATGTAAGTACAAAACAAACTTGTGGTAGGCCTAAACTTATTTTCAGAATAATTACATCTGAGACTTTGTTTCATTGTAAGATTATAACAGTGATGGCAATATAATTGTTTGTTGTTCAGCAGAACAGTGTCCAGTATGTTGGCTGTTATACTTTGTTGTGTTTGAAAATAAAAGTTCGGCTGATTTTAACATCATTACAAAAAGTGTTGTTAATTATTTTTAATCATATTCAGGTTACCACACATTGTTTTTTCATTTAGTTGAACTTGAAATGTTTGTCAGTAGGTAAACAATTATTATTGCACAGTCAGAAATATCAAGTTATTCTTAATACTGCAGACTTGCAATGTGTAAGTTGTCCTAACAGTCATCTCAAGTAAGCTTTACTTAGTTTTTTTGAGGCAATGAGTTTCCTCAATTTTTTTGAGTTCTGGGAACTAACAAGGCTGTACAGTGTACTCAAAATGAGTAAGTTGCCCTAACTGGGTCATCTTAAGTAAACTTGATCCAATTTTCTTGAGTTCTGGGAACAAATGAGCTTGTACAGAGTACTCAAAATAAATAAGTTGGTCTAATTTAGTCATTTTTTTAAAGCAAAGAGTTTCCTCAATTTTTTTGAGTTCTGGGAACTAATTAGATTTTACAGTGTATGCTGTGGTGTATGTGTATATGTATATGACAGCAGTAAACAGCCTTCCACAAAAAAACAAGTTAGTCATAGACAAAACATGGTCTTCCTCAAGGTGTTAAATGGTTGTAATTTCATAAAACATGGCTTGGAAGACAATTCAGATGAGCATTAAAGACCATTTTCTGTTCTTCCTCAATAAACTGATAAACCAAGCATGAGAACAAAGTCTGGATAATAAAGACCAAGGAGACAAACAAAAACACCCACTTTCATCCACGTGTGATCTTCGCCCCCCATGTACATCAACAACTCTCTGAAAAACAAGTCAAAGTCGAAGTTATTGTTTTACAAATGTGTTGACCTTTCCAGTTAAGTTAGTCACGATGGACTGTTCTGATTAAGGCTTTATATAAAAAAACTAAAAAAACAACACAAAACAAAAAACAGTTCAAGATTAATACTCTTTCACATTTTGATTAAAAACAACAACAACAATAGCATCAATACCATCATTACCATCATTACTAGTCTGCAACCTGCCCCAAGACTAATGTACACCCAAGCATCAGGTAAAGCAGGGAGACAAGCTTATTTTAACACTGTAATATAGCTAAAAAGCATTATCATTCGATTTCCAAAATGTCTCTTTTTAAAGCAAAATGCTGGTTTATTAGACAATTTTCATTTCTGGGCAACCTGCTTCTTAAACAGTACACTCTTTGTAAACATGCATTTTCAGCACACAGTTCTCCAGAGTTTCCACTAGAGGGAACTGCTATAGTTAATTTCAATATTAAATAATTGTGAGCGTTAACTTATCGTCCTGAAAACCGAAGGGGAAAAAAGTATCTTTAAGTTACTTTTTTTTGTCCACTACAAAGGACATAACAAACAGACTAGGTCTCAGGAGCACACCTAGTTCGTCATTTCTTTATAAGGTGATTGTTTTCAATTATATTTAATGCCTAATATTTCAAATACTGATGGCATTTGGCATAAAATTTCCAAAAATGAACATGGAAGAGTAAATATAAAAAAACGTCCAAGATTACAAAATAAATAAATATTCCATTGATTAAATATCAAGCTAAATGCTTGATTAAATACTGCTGTAGCACTTCGTTCTCAATAAATTTGTATGTAAAGGAAGTTTACTATTCTTGATACAGCTTATAAATGTAAATATTATTACAGCAAAACTCTTAATATTGATAGATCAGTTATGAAACTTCCTTTGATGAGGATATACTACAAATGATTTTAGACTGAACAATGTCATACACACACACACACACACACACCTTCATACATCAAGTTACTTTTTGCACAGTACTCAGTCTTTTGCACAACCCACTGTCATTGTTGCAGTTTTGTATTGCACTGTCTCGTGTCTGTATCGTTCCGTTCTGTCTGGGGTTTCACTGTTTTTTGCAATTTTTGTGCACTTGCACTTTATATAATTCTGTGTTGATTTTCTGTTATGTAGCACCATGGTCTTTCACCGTGTACTGTACCACTGCACATGGTTGAAATGACAATACAGGCACTTGACCTAAAAGAAAAAGTTTTTTCTTGCCATTTCCCGACTTACCTGGGCAGGAGGTTATGAACCAAATGAATCTTATTACCATATTATTGTAGTATAACTATCGGGTTGCTGTGGCTTTAACTGTGATATAAAACGTACAAGAACAGCATCTTCGGGAATACTATAGCAAGTGGCAGTACACTTATTTAATAATTACATGATAATAACGTCAATAGAATTATGCGATAAAAACTAGAACATTACTTTAGATCCTTTCCGTATCATAGCAGTGATAATGATTAAAAAAACTGAGCCAGCCAATCCAAACACCTGCTTTAAAAAAATAACTTATTTACTGGTAATTACATGGGTCAAAAACACCGTGTCCCTTTAACAGGAAGGAAATTAAACGGGGGAAGTGAAGCAATAGGGAGCTACTTCCTCGTTACCCCCACAATCACAACATTATTTGTGCGCAATGGGAGAATCTGCATCGTCGGGAGGAGATTTTTAGATCTAACAGTGGGTGCACATCGTTGGGAAGCTCCGGGAAACGCGTACGTTTCATTATGCTTCAGCTCAACGACGCAATGGAGCCGGAGAGTCCGGGCGCTGCGGTTCTCCACCCTGCAGAAACCGAGGAGGGGGTCGAGGTTGCCTTCACGCCGCCGGAGGCCGGACGAAGCTTTGGACACGCCGCCTCCGTGGCCTGCTGTCCCCCGTTACAAACGCTGACGCCTTTTCATGTGCATAACCCCACCATGCAAGCGAAAGTGAAGGACTACTTCGTGTTCAGAGTAAGTTGCTGCATCCATTCCAGCTTGCGGTGATAAGCCCGTTTGTTTTTATATGAACCACTCACACTTATCGTACGCTGCTTAGGTACCTCTAAGTAAACACGACCACCCCCAGCCGTAGGCGTCAGTGCAGGGCAGCATGTTGTGACAATCACAGTAACAGATCACAGGGAGGATGAGGCTCAGATGATTTATGGTTGTGTGATGCTGATCTCAGCCAGGTACCATTGAGCAGGCGGTGAGCGACATCAGGACTGTGGCACTGCCGTCCGAGGATGGAGAGGTGCTTAGTGTCTGGCTGCTGGCTGAGTAAGTATCCCGTCATCATGTTTATTATCAGGCAGGAGGCATAAAAATGAACTCTTGTGTGAACTATTGTTTTCTACAGAATTGATCACTGGAATAACGAAAAGGAGAGACTTGTGCTGATAACTGATAGGTGAGTCAGAATCATACCTCATCTTTAAGTGACTAATATTTAATGAGGCATATCAGGTAGCCAACAACATTGTCTTTACGTTGTCTGCAGGTCCCTGTTGGTGTGCAAGTATGACTTCATTAACCTGCTGTGTCAACAAGTAATCAGGATCTCTCTCAATGCTGTGGACACCATCTCAGTGGGCGAGTTTGAGTTTCCACCCAAATCCCTCAACAAGTATGTCAGAATTTCAGCTTGTCAACAGCCAATTAGTATTTACCCAGAGTACATTAACAAATAAATGTGTAAACATTACAACATTAACCTTTAATATTAGCAAAACAGAATGATGTGTCTTTTAATTGTTTAAATAGCAATAAATACATACAAAAAAAATGTTTCCAAATTGATGCACACGGAAGTAAAATGTAAAAACTTACAAAATGTCTTTTGTAAACCGTTGTGGTCCATCTCTGTGGTTGTGCTGCATGAATGTCGTCAGCTGTTTGATATTCTAATCTTATTAAAACTGTTGTATTGTCAAACAGAAGAGAAGGCTATGGGATTCGTGTCCAATGGGACAAACGTCCCCAGGCTTCATTCATTAATCGCTGGAACCCCTGGTCAACAGAGATGCCCTACACCACGTTCACAGAGCACCCTATGGCCCATGCTGATGAGAAGGTGGCCTCTCTGTGCCAGGTACAGTCACTTTAATTAAATTAAGCTAAACATGCATTTTTATTATTTCCGATAATAGGCTACTTGACGTTATGAAAACTAAGCAAATAAAGCTTCAAAATGTAAGCTCTTTTCTGTGTTGTGAAACAATGGTGACGGCTGGTGAATGGTTGTTTCAAACAACAAACAGTCACAGTTCAACTGGAAACAATGGACTGATTGCTTGCCTTAAAGACATAATTCAGCCCTCAAGATAAAGACAGTTATTCATACTTTTCAACTTGGTATATCAATAGATATTTTTAAAGCCGTTTGTTTATATTTTACTGGCAAGACAACAGCTGTGCCTTGGGCAATTTCTCATCCAGGCATTGCTACATGCAGTGAATGAAGCCCATTCTACTGCAAAATCTTGAATGTATTCTTTATTCCAGAGCAACCTCAGATACTTAACTCCAGACAGCGACTCCTATTTTAATAAATATATAAATTGTGCACTTTTGAAGTGGCTGTTAATAGGTTCATATTTTTTCCTTCTACCTCCCAAGTTGGACAACTTCAAAATCCAGCTCGTGCAGGCAGTGAAGAGAGCCCATAAGGAGCACCCGATCCCAGGTCGAGCTAACGGTGTGCTGATCCTGGAAAGACCCCTGCTTATTGAAACATATCTAGGCATAATGTCCTTCATTAACAATGAGGCTAAGTTGGGCTACTCCATGACACGCGGCAAGATTGGCTTCTAAATTCAGTCGTTTCTCCAAACTACAACATTTCAACTCATGTGTCTGTGTTAAAACTACACTGTCTGAGGGAAGCTGCAGTGTAATGTGTAACATGTGTGTGCGTGTATGCAGAATCCAAGAGATGCCCACACACCTTCCTGAGTCGGTGTAATGGTCAGCCAGCTGTACGTAAATGATGCACAGCACTGTAACAACTGTTTACTCATTCGTTTTTTTGTGCCCCTAGTCCCCCCCCTTTCTGTCAGAGTTCCACACAAGTGTCACACACACACGACCTTCAGGAGTGTGTGGCCGTGCTATAAGAGTTGGGAGATAAAAGGCACAGCACGTACTTTATATTGAGCTTCTTGAAGTCTCACGTTTCTGGTTTAACCACTAAATGACAGACTGTCAAATTGAATGTGATATTTAGAACAGTGAAACCGTATCATCGGCCAAGATGAGTTCCACGTTTGCTACATGATATGGTTTGTGTTTGCATTATTCGGACCACAGAGCCATAGAGTAGCTTCTTGGAATGGAAAAGCAGCTGATGAACTGAGTAGGATCGCCGTGTCACATAATTATTCAAATAAATTTATGTCGAGATATGGAAGGAAACTAGATAGGAGAGCATAGCATCTGCAAGGCTGTGCCCTAGGCTCAGCTTTGGTACTGATTTGCAGAATGCATGGGCTTGTTCAGTAGTAATGATGAATTACATATCAAAATCCTCTCCCTTGTATTTAACCCGTGTTTTATTTTCAGTGCTTATATTTACCTAAATGATGTCTTTGCTTAGAGCAGGGAGCCACCATTTGCAGAGCTGTATTAGCTACAATAACAAAAATGTTCTTTTTATGTCAGAAATAATATGTGCAATGTGAACATGTAAATCTTTATGTTTGTTCTGTGAGTTGCCATTACGGTGCTGCAATTTGCATTTGTTTTAGACATATATTTGCACTCAGCTGTATTAAACTGTGCAGAGGGCGGGTTGGGTTACAAAGTGGCACAGATGCAGATAAAGCTTTGCATAAGTACATTAACTTCCTAGAATGTGTGCGTTGTGGATATTATTGTCCAGCCAAAGGTTACAGAACATACTTCCATGCATCGCCAATACCAACAGAAAACATCCCAAAATGCCTTTTTTTTCCTGGTCTCATTTGTGCATGTTCCCTGCATGTTCAGTCTGCATGACAGGTGTTTTTTTTTTTAAAGAAATATCCCAAGTGAATCTGTAAATACTGATTGTTTTGTTTATATACATTTTTTTCCAATGCATTTGACGTAAGCGATCTAAGAATATGAATATACCATTAACAGTTCTCAAGTATTTTATTTAGGGATATTAACTCATTTCTACAAACACGTGAAGGTTTTGTTTTTTGTTTTAGATATCTGTAGCACAATAGCCACTATGGAAAATTAAAAATGCCTCTATGTTTTTGTCAGGGCTGAGGCTTGGGGTGGATATAGCTCTGCTTTACGATTACGTTTGTACTGTCGAAGACTGAAACTACTAGGACTGATTGAAGTTACAGTTCAAGTGGCTTTAGAGCAAGATGATGCCTTGAAGACAAGAAATACTGTCCTGATATATTTAGTACTGCCTGTTGCTGTTTGGATTTCTTACTGACATTTCAGTCTGGTCATAGCGGGTAACGCCTTTTACATGCTATAAGTAATGATGCAGTATTTGCAGGTTAAAGATAATGCAACTTGTGTCATGAAGAACTGCTTTAAAATTACCAACTAAAGAAAACTGTCTCATGTCTTTGCTCATGTCAACAGTGCGACTACATTTCATCAAGATACCTAACTGTAACTCAGCTACTGATTTCAGTAACATGACATATACCGAAAACAATGCATATTGATTAAAGGCTGAACACACTTTTAGAAAACTGGCACCATAAGCAACTATATTTATGACAAAGTTTATTTAGAACAAATATAAAATTTCAAGGTGAAACAGGAAATTCTAGCAATAAGTGAAATCTATAGAAAATTGTAAACTTTCACATTCTCACAGTGTTTGCAACTAGTGCTGAGTACATATTTATCAGTAGGAATTACTTTCAATGTTCCAGTAGCCCACACTTTTAAGAGCAGCTGCAGTCCAGCATATGCAAGCTAACATGTTCAGGAGTGTTCTCACTGGCCATTGACTCAGCTTGTGTGTACAGCTAAATAAGACTGAACTATGACCCAGTTATTTTCTTTTTGTGTGCTTTACTTGTCTTCTTCATCAGTTTCCATGTAGCACAAACACAGCTGCTCCTTTCCAAGCAGTATCAAGGAGTTGCCACTGCAATGCCAGTTCAGAGAATGAACTTGAAAACCACCTGGCAGGAATAAAAGCGAGATAACTGTGATGTCAATGCCTTTACACATAAACATGCTCATAGTAAGAAATCAGTATCTAAAAAATACACTTCAACTTTGTGTAATGAGATTTTCAATTTCAGGGACATTTAAAGCAATAAATGTAAAGAAACAACAGACAGTAAATTGATTCTATTTTCAATTATAAACAACACAATCTTAAACTAAAGGCAATATGTGACTATGTTGCTATGAAACTACAGGGTGGGGCATTTATATGTATACATCGTAATAACATGGAAATGGTTGGTGATATTAAAGTCCTGTTTGTGGCACATTAGTTTATGTGAGGTGGCAAACGGAGTTTATGGTGTATCCATATAAATGGCCCACCCTGTACTCGTTCATTTACTAACAACTTCTCAATCAAAAGTTGTTATTAAATGAACCTACTATGGATAAACCTCCTTTTTGAAAGTATGACCAAAATAATTTCCATGTCTGTAACAGATGGTATGCCCTCACAGACTCTGATCTATGCATCACTGAATCAGTAAGGGTAGGCAAATAACCTTTGATGAACAACTATGGAAGGTTATCCAAGACGCCCAAAAAAACCTGAGCACATAGAAAAACTGTCCACATACACTTCAGAAAAACTGGTGCAGTTACAATACTTTAAGGTTTCTTGTTTTCATGTAGTTTAGCAAACAAAATGTTTTTTAAAATAGTTTGGTCCACTAAGAGCAGACTGCATTCATTGGTCCTTGTTTTTTCTTAAACTTCTAACCGAGATCCACACTGACTGCTCTTAAGCCCAGTGCAATGAAGCGTAGCTTTTTAACATAAACTAGAACTTCAGCCAGTTCTAATTTTGTTGCTAAAAATTTTGGCAACAACCTTTGACTAAAACTAAAGTTTGATGCTTAAATTATAATTAAAACTAATAATGCTTAAATCAAGACTACGATTTAAACTAAATCAATATTTGCTGATTTCCACTCATTTCAGCCATGCTGTTTTAAACAATTTGAGAATAACAAAGCAAAAGCATGTTTGTTGTCAATCTTAAGTTCTATTTCATGATATCAGTGTTTAATATTCTATTAGTGTAAAAAATAAAATGAATGAATTTAACAGCGACCTTGTGGTTACCATGGAGATTAAATAAAACGACAGGATGGTTACTGGAGGTCTGCTCCTTTCCTATATCTGAGAACAATGTAATTAAGCTTTGGACTCCCAACTATGTGAAAGTTCAATCGTTTTAGTGCCCAAGGAAATTACCTTCAGTTGGGACCTGAACAGCAACACAGCCTCCTGGAGACCAGAGATAGAGCTTGGTGTTGCCAGTACATAGTGCCAACCGGGGATGGCATGGGTCCCACTGAAAACATCGTACTGCTGATGTCTGCTCCAGCACAGCCTGCAGGCTCATCATCTGCATGTTCCACACCCAAACAACACTCGCCATATTGTCTGCAGTGACAAAAATAGTCATACACATTCAAAACCACTCTCAGCCTAAAGAGCCAATACTAGTATCATAACAAATGTACACAACAAAAGTCAGTCAGTTTTGTACAATATAGGGTCAAAATTATGCACACAAGGTCAAAAATATACATAAAGCAGCACATATTTTGTTAATTGTCCCTTAGCACACTGCACCTTGAACCATCAGCATAATTCTTGTTGAAACTGATGTAATTCAAATCAACTTCCTCTCAGCTGAGGATGAAAGCGGTTTCTTTTTAAAACCTCTGCAAGTGGAATTACAAAATACAGTTACAGACACAGTTAAAGTTGTTTGAACTGATGATGCAGGAATCTGCAGTTGTTTAGAAATGGCTCCAGGACACATTACAGACTTGTGTAATTCAGTTTCTCAGTTCTGAACTATACTTTTGCATTTGACAAGTTAAGAGGCTTTTTGGGACTTTCACCACCACATATTTAAGAATCTAAGTGGGTGCAGATTATGTTGTGCAATGTTTCAAAGGTCAGTATTAATAAAACATTCCTGTCAACAATTAGTGCAACAAGAAAGTTCAATAAAAAAGCTAAAAGAAAAAAAATCTCACCATTTTTGGTGGCTAGATAGTGATTGTTTGAGCTGAATGCCAAAACAGAGACCCCAATCTTTGGGTTGGCTCGGTCTGGGTCTGGTTTGACCACAGGAACTTGGACTGGCAATGAGCATATCTCATCTAGATGAGGCAACAACAAAGAATTTATAATGAGACAAAACTGGTTACTTGACCTTGGTAATTTTAGACAAATATCACTTTAAAAATGAATACTGCTTACGTACATTTACTCTGGGTGTTGAAGAGTGTGCTGCCAGTAGTGATGTTGTGCAGAGACATTTCGTCAGTGCCAACAGCTGGCCTTCTCTCCACTTCTTTATACACAGTCTAAAACCACAAGGAGTAATTAACTGGCAATCAAACAATGTCTTCCAGGCCCATCAAAAACGCTCAATACTCACAGCTTTTGTGCTTTCCACTGTTGCAGGGTGCTGAAACTGTGCGATTTTTTTCCATGTGATATGATTGATGATGCGCACCTGACATAAAGATAAAAGTATCTTAATTTCACTGATACTAAAAATTGCACACAACACATTCTGCTCAAAATAAAAATGAACCTGAAACTATACTAAAAAACCTTTATTTAAGAGAGAATGAAAAAAGTTGTGAAGCTTTTTACGACTTTAGGAGGAACTGCATGAAATTTGTGAAAAGGAAGACCTCATCTAAAAAAACAAACAAAAACCAAAAACAGGCAATCATCAGGAAAGAAGCACAATTTTTTAACATCATCCATACTTTTTCATCATAGCTGCCAATTGCAAGGAACTGGCTACTGGGGCTCCAGGACACAGACTTGACACCCAGCGACCATTCATAGGCACTGTAGGTTGACAGCAACCGGCCATCCAAAGAGTAGAGCAACACCTTATACTGTGTAGAGGATACATACACATGAAACAGTATTAATAATAATGCTTCTATTCTGTTGCTAGCACTTAAGTACAGTGGTTAGGACAACCTTTAGTAGACAGATGTTGCAGACAGATGTCAGTGTGCTTCATTTTAAAATTTTATGACTTTTTAAACAGTGTAATTACATTTTGCAGTATTCCTGTTTCCAATATTATGAGACTCTTGTGAGGTGATCAATATAAATTTGTCTTATCCTGCATAAGTGTTTACTTAAAGAACACTTGTACCTATGTATAGTACCCCAACCATGCCTCAAAATTTAAACTGCAGATAATGTTGTTTTATAATTTAAAGCTGACTCTTCGATTACTGTCTTCCTAAACTGGAGTTTTTAAACTATTCACTTGCCATTCTTGCCAGGGTACACTTTACTGAGTGATTCACTGATGACAGGCTCATGTTTAACTGAGATAGGTAATTTGACATTACAGTGATGGATCTCTAGTGTATAATGTTAACTAACTTCTAGACAACTGTCCCATACTGCCAGCACACAGCCATTTGGAGACCACTCCAATCCTGCCAGGTCCTGTGTCTCAGTCTCAAAATGCTGTAATAAAAAAGTGACATTAAATGAAGTTAATTAAGACATTCATTAAAAAAAAATGTGAATATCTTAAACTTAATTTTTCCTCATA